TGATTTAGAGCTTCTTTTTATGTGACTATAGATTGCTTTGATTTTTTTCTCTTTTGACTATGAATTGAGGAATAACTTGTATTCTTATAAATTGACTCAGTTCTTAATATATTTAAGAAAAGATGGGTTCTGGGAATTTCAGAAAAGAATTTATCAATGGGACAAAAGAGTCAAAGGCAGGGGAAGGAGAAGACAGATGAAACACTGTGATCAAATTTGGAGTGAACCAGATGATCTGGGGCCTTCCTCAAAACTGAAGTCCTAACAGTGAAGCTTCAAGAATGTCCAACTTGGAAGGCACCTTAAAAATCTAGTTCATCCCATAGCTGAGTAGGAACTTTTCCACTGAGTCTGAAGTCATTCATGTTGACCTTCTTTCCTGTCCTTGGACATTTACAGCACTTACCTACCCTGGCAATTAATTATGTATGTTTTCTTACAGTAGCTTATATATTGCTTTACAAAATATTTTCCTCAGTACAACTCTTAAGGTAGGGAGTTTAAGGTGAGGAAACACAAAAAAGGCTAAATGATATGCCTGAAATGATGTGACTAGTAAGTTAAAGAGATGGGGTTTGGTTTCATGTTTCTAGACTCAAGAACCTACATGAGTCAATTACTGTATCATATTTGTGTTTTAACTCACTAACTAGACTTTCAATATCACCAATAAGGAACATTCACTAAACGCCTATTCTGCAAAGAATATAGACACAAAACTTCTAGAAGGTAGTGATTATGACTATAGAGTATCAGCAAGATAGGACCAAAGCCTGATAACTACCCAAAGGTTATTATTTTGCTGTTAAGCATAAATTAACAGAATGTGCCTCTCACCCAAAGCCCAGAAAAGGCCTTTTATAAAAGTTCCCATTGTCCTCCTTGTTCACCTTATTCACTGCCAACTCTGGACACTCCCTAACATCATCTGAAAATACATGACATCACTGAGCTCTCACCTGCAAGAGGATCTTCTTCCTCACTGCTTGTTGAAGGCAGTGGCTCTTCCAGGTTATCCCTGGAATCTGCACCAGAAATGGCTACAGCAGAATCTCGAGTGGAGGAACTTTCAGAGGATGAAGCTGGGGGGGAGCTAGAAAAAAACATGAAGGGGAAGTTACTTTGAGGAAGGGAATACTCGAACTACTTTCCCTTCTAAGCAAGACAAGTACATTTCTTGCTATTTTCTCACTCCTTTCCCCCCAATCTCCTAGTTCTTGTGGGGCTTAAGAAAAGTTTTATTCAAGCATTTGCTTACCAATACTTCTACTTCCACTTTAAAAATTTAACCCCTCCTTGCAATAAAGAAAGCACCCCAAATCATATTCTTCATATTTCACCTGTCTTCAGTCTGTTGCTGGGATTCGCTTGGCCCATCTCCACTGCCCTGTGTTTCTGTAGTAGGCTGAGGAATATCCACAGGAGCAGTGGTGTCTATCCCAAGTGGCTCTATGCTGCTGGATATTGCACTGTCCCCAACTCCCTCCTCCAGGTTGCAGGATGCCAGGCTGCTGGTATCCATAGGGGAGCCCTCCAGATGACTGCTCACAGCAGTTAGAACATCTGAATCCTCAGCCCTTTCTGGAGATGAGGCTGTGTGGAAACCACAAGAAGTCAGAAAATATAAATTCAGAAACCAAGGAAAAACCTTGCTAGACAACAAATTGGTCACATTTACTAGCAAACATCAGGCTTTGTAGCCCTATTCTATCTGCTGAATACATTCTTACAGATGAGATACTATATGCCTGATTGGGTAATTCCTAAATTATGCTTCAACAAAAGCAGAAGGGTATAGTGTAAAAAACATCTGACTTGGAGTAGCAAAACTGGTGCCAGGTTCCATGACTCTGGGCAAGCTTGTGCCCCTTAGCTTGACCAAATGCAAAATGGAAACACTTACCTAGCTCTAAGGTCCATTTTAGTTCTAATATTCCTTCATCCAACAAATTTGTGGAATAAGCTGTGCTTAAGGTTGCAATGAATTTTTAAAATGTACCAAAAAAAAATCTTTACTTACTTATCGTGGGAGCTGGTGACAACTCCATTAGAATTGCCTCTGTTTCAGCACCTGATCTTCTGGGACCTAAGACTTCTTGCTCCACAGGCATCAGAAGCTGTGAAGAGGACTCTTGTTACTCTGGAAACTTCTCATCAGCAACCACCTCTGCCTCCCCCACCAGCTATTGGAGAGCTTCCCCAGCAGCTTCATATTCCAAATACACCAGAGTCCTCTTCACAGCTTCTGATGCCTGTGGAGCAAGAAGTCTTAGGTCCCAGAAGATCAGGTGCTGAAACAGAGGACTCTGGTGTATTTGGAATATGAAGCTGCTGGGGAAGCTCTCCAATAGCTGGTGGGGGAGGCAGAGGTGGTTGCTGATGAGAAGTTTCCAGAGTAACAAGAGTCTGTTTGGGTCTAACTGAGGTGCCTTCTGCCAGAGATGTAGTTGGGTAGATATCAGGCCTAGTGGTCTTATCTTGCTCAGAAAAATGAGAATTATGTTAAATAGACACTTTGGTGGGGACCGTGTCACTGATAAACACATTCAGTTTAAAAAGGGCCTGGTTACACCCAAGAGAATTATATGTTGGTCACCTATGCCCTATAGAACAACTTAACAAAGGAACCTATGTACATAAATAGAGGGGAATTCTTTAATAAGCAATTATGCATCTTAAGAGCAACATGATGTGTTCTATTAATGTTTACAAATAGCTTCATTTAATTTTTTAAACAAAATATTAGTGCGGTAACCCTGAAGTGACTGCACCTACATTCTAATAAAATTTTTCTCAAGATCCTAAAGAATTTTCCCAAAAGCTCAGCATGAGGAAACAGCAACCACTTTAAGTGGCAAAAAATCAGGAAAAGGAGACAGGAGGTTTTAGGGAGTAGCTAACAAAGAAAAGCAAATTTGAAATGGTGAATAACTACACTATGAAAAGGACAGAGGTTACTATTGAATGAAGACAGAAGAAACACTAACAGAATGAAGAAATATGAACAGTGAAACAAAAGTTAAAGAGAAACAACATTTATTAAGCTTCTACTAGGTGACAGGCCTTACAAAGTTTGGTTGGTGCAACAAGCAACTGGCCTTCTTTGTAGGGTGCCCTAAAGTAGCCATTTCAGAGACCACGCTATCAAGAGTTTTCAAGGGATTTTCAAGGGACACTGTTACCTTCATCAGGGACTCCAAAAGTGGAGTGTCAGAGAATAGAAACAATCAAGAAAGGGACTGGAAAAATTCCATAGTGTGAGTGGTCTATGGAATATATTTTCAGTGCTTTTGGGGCAATATAACGAGCAAATTTAATCACTGGGGAAAATGAAGCCCCATGGGAAACACAGCAGGCTATATAGTTATCTCTAAGATTGGGTAATACCCTAAAACTATATAATTTATCTTGTTCCACAGAACACGGAGCATCTTTAGTTTTGGGTCATATAGGCCATAGTTATCTAAGAGGTGGGGAAAACATGGTAACCAACAGTTTTTATCAGAAAGGTTGGAAAAGGAAAGAAATAATTACCTGAGAGATTCTGTTCAGTAGTATTTGTTTTGGATATGGTACCCTGTGGAGGGAAAATATTGAATTTGGTTAATAAGAGGTCTTGTTTAGATTTGGGATGCGTTACTAATATATAAATATTTTATGTCATTACTGAAGAAAAAAGCAGGCTTTACTTTGTACTTGTAAAATTTTGTATTTTTGAAGTCTAACATAATGTTTGATATATAGTATAAATTTAAGGCTTACTGATTCTTACCTAATGTCTAAGTTTTCTGGTATAGTGAGACAAAACATTGCTAAAGTTATATGATTTAACCAGTGGGTCAGAAGACAGCAGGAGTGCCACAATTATATCCAAGTGGGGCAGAGGGATGGTTACTGCCTTATGCATATAGGTTTAACTTTTTTATTCCCTTCCTATCTAACTCCTATCTACCCTTCTCAACCATTTCTTCTCCCTGTATCTTCTCACTCATTAGGGTACAATACCAGAGGTGTAGCCTAGTCACATCAATTCTAGCTCTCAATTTCAGAGTAATTTTTTTCATGACACAACAAAAATGGAATTGAGTTCAACTGTTTACAGAGGAACAAAAGCCTTGTTGCTAAATCCAATGTATTCTAACTACAGTATACTATGGAGTCAAGAGTTGTAAACTAATTTTACCTCAGCTACTATCTTTGCTGTATGACCACAAGAACTAACGTCCCATTTTAATTCCCATGGAGTTGGATGAAATGATATTAGATACTATTGCATTCTAAATTTCTTTAAGTAACCTGTGTATTCTGATCCTTATTCTCTTTTTCTTCTTTAGTCACGTCAGCTATCTTA